TAAAAAGCTGAATGCTGTTTATATTTATTATGTTAACTAGAGGTGTGTCCCCCTGCCCCAGTAGGAAGATCCTTCACCTGAAGTCAAAAGCAAGAAGAACTCCTACTGAACTAGTTAAGGTTTTTGCCCCACCCCATTTCCTGTTTCTTGTTTAAAACATTTTAAATTTTTCCAAGTCCAAGAAGTTATGTTATTTTTATGCCAGTTATTTTACTAAAAAGTAAAGTACTGGTTGAGGTCTCGCATACCTACCTGCTTTAGGAAATGCAACAAACTGTCAGGCAACTTCAATAGCTTTAGCATCACCCTTTACTCACCCACATTTATAAGTTCCTTGAACTTGTGCAATATTCATAGGACTGTTCAAATTTCTTGCTAGAGCTGTGGGAATAATTGGGACAGACTTCACAGGGGTGTATTCCAAAATATTCGCTGCAGTAATAGAAGCCCAGTGAAAATTAAAATGTAGATTATCCAGGTTTTCTGTGAAAATTATGTGAGCTCTAACACTGAGCAGTTTAGAAAGATCCAGTGATTCTTTATTGCACAGACTGTGCTGCAGTCCCTGGAAGTAGAGAAAAGAGAAGAGAGTTAAATACACTAAATTGTCTTCATATGACTACCATGATTCAAGTTGTATTACACTAGGAACTCAACTCATTCATCGTAGCTACTATTGTAGTAGGCACTGTATAAAAAGCCATTAAGCCAGGTCTCCAAAACTCATGGCTATAATGAATATAATGAATAACATAAAATACAGTTGAAATTAAGCTATGCATATCTTAGCATTGTTTTATGATGTGGTAAAAAACCTGAGGTTACTTACATTGTATAAAAATTAATAAAATAACAGGCAACTGGAAGGCTCAAGGTGATCTGTCAAAGTTTTCTTACTTGCATTCAAGAAATTTGTATTTTAACATCTGGATGTATCATCATGAGAAAGTTTACATGTGAAGTAAGCACTGTTTGTATTATGAAATACACACAACTACAGGCAAACATTTACAGCAATAGAAGGTGTATTTACTAGATTATAAGTCTACAGCAGACCACAGAAGCAACAGGCACACATTTCAGCTCTAACTACTAACATACATAGACTTTACATGCTTTCTTGCAAGTCATTTGCCTAGCAATACTGTATCAACAATTGCACAAATACTGCAAGTCATTCATGATAGACTTGAAAGAAAAAGCTGTTTTTTCTTGTTTAAGTAAGTTTGCTGCAATCATTGTCGTCTTGCTGGTTTTGGTGGTCAGACCAGCTGAAAACCTTTGGTCACACAGCAAGATTTTAGTCCAAGATTAAAGACTGTGTGATCCTTAAACACCTGTGAAGACTACCTGATTTTAATAGTTTCCGATACACTTTTCAGTGACACTCGAGCAGCTCATTTCACATAAGCAGCTAAATAGTCTTGCTTCAGCCACCACTTTGCTGTGTTTGAAATCAAGCCCTGTGCATAGTCTAGGCTCCAGCCTAGAAGACAGTTATTAAGAGACTCAAAAGTTGCCAAGAGCAGCCTACCTTGAAAGCCAAGCTGATATCTTCAGCGCTGTGCACTATAATACTGTCTGAAGAAAGTCCCCAGGCATTAACTGTACATGGAATCAAAAAGTCTCCAGGAAGAGATGCAGTTGGAGTTTTGCCCGATCCACCAGCAACTTCTCGACCAGGATCAAAGCGGTCTATTGTTAGCGTTATGCCTTCCCCATCTTTACAATAAATGAATAAATAAAGTTAGAGTCCAAGAGCAACTCAGGCTCCTTGATAACAGCTTGCTCAACCAACCAATACTGTCTGTCTACCTGATGTTTAAAGTTACCTTCATCTACTGCAAGAGTCCCAAGCAAAAAACAGGAAAATAATTTCTTTTCACTCTGCTTCGCATGGCGATAGGCAAGTCGCAAGGTTTTCTCCACCATAGATAACTTTGGGTTTCTAAAAAAGAGACAATAAGCAAGTTTCAGACCCAAATTATTTTTAATGCTTTTTAAAAAAGTATTTATTGTATCGCAATAGCTTCCACTCTTTTTTCTTTCCTTTAAAAAGAAAATACTCAGAAATAGCCCAAAGCCCTAAACAACAAAAAGGTCAGAATTTTAGCTCCTGTTCTGTGCATCACCCCAACTATTCATATTCAAGCAAGATGTATTTTAACTGGAGCAGCTTCAAAGAATGCTCTCTATGATCATCTCAACAAGAGTATTTTGGCTTGACTAGTCCAGCAAACCAGCACCAGAGGGAAACAGTTTTTCCTATGGAGAATAAATGGGAAAGAGAGAGAAGAGCTTTTTTCTCTGGAGAATAAGCAACAAGGAGAGGGAAAAGCTTTTTCATCTGAAGGGCAACATTGTCACAAGAACTAGAGATGAACACAATTGAATTATTTTAATAGAAGGTGGATAAAGTTAGAAACACTAAAACCAAAACACAGAACCTCTAAAAAGTCTCCTAAGTTTAAAGAGCAGAATAGGCCAAAAAGCTTAACTGATTCTGATGCAGTGTTCTCTCATTTTAGCACAATACTTAGTGTGCATGCTTAAAGCAGCAGGACACTGGGCTCAATGACACAGGAATGCAAGTATGGACAAAGATTAGGTAATTATAAAATCACTATTTAGTGAAAAAAAAGGTAGTAAGTTTGGAATCTAGGACAGTAAATATATCAACATTATTTTAGATTGAGACAGCTTATCTAATTTTGACTTGGAAAGAGGTCAAAGTTGAAAGTGAAGCTACTGGTTTACGTGAATACTGTGGTGATGCATATACTTGGTCTAATAACTACAGTACGAGCTTTGTAACATACCCATTTAAGTAACAAGAATCAATTTTTACTCTCCATTTGTTTTACAAGTCAGGTTTGGAATACCCTGCCCTAGAAATTCACAAGTGCTTTAGCTTTGCCTCTAGACGCATTCTTTTGGCATTTAATCCAGATTCCTGAAGCAAGCAAAATGCTTAGTTTGAGTTTTACTTGAATCTCCTATCTGTATCCAGTTTGTCAAAAATATTTTTTTCTCTGTAAATATTTAGAGACAAGGAAAAACATGTTAAAGAAAACTACAAATATGCAGTTACTTCTACACCTTTCCATATGGGAAGGAAACTGAAAGAAATTTTAAGTTCCTTTAGACTGAGGCACCTCCAACCCACTTGACTGCATTACACCACAGAAAAGAAAACTCTCAAGTCTTTGCATTGAAAATCCCTACTTACTTATAACAAACACACCGGTTGCTTCTTTTTCCTTTGTGCCTTGTCATACACTAGACTCAGAAGATAAAATGAGGCTTTGAATCATATAATTCTTAATTTATTTTAACCTTTAGCCACTTAAAAAAGGTTATTCATACCTGTAATAGGTAATATGTGAGCCAATGACATCACCCATAGGGACTGGGTCCCAAAGTGCACACTTTGACAGAGGGAAACTGAAAGGGACCATCCTTTTGGGAACAAATCTAGGAAGATCACAGAGATAAGACAGGAGAATGGATTAAGCTTAGTACTTTCAAACATCATTTATAAGAAGGAACAAAGGAGTAACACTGTAAGAAAAACAACAAATAGGATACATAAGCTGTCAGTACTTTTTTTGTTTCAAGTCTAGGCCAATGAAGCAGAAACTTTGTCCTGTGAAGTTGCCAAGGATATGAACTACAAAGTCAACACAAAACTCTCATTTTCTACCTGACGGTGCCTTCATGTAATCTTGGAAGATGTGTAGGCCAAAATATAAGTTTGCAGATAAAGCTCAAGAAAAAGTTGCTCTGGATATATTGTAGGAAAGGAAAAGGATATCAGTCATTAGACACTCCCACAGCACACAGAAAATCTTGATTTAGCAAACTTAATATTGGCTCAGCTTCCAAAAGCCCTGTTTTAGTCACTTTTTAAAGTCAGCATTCAATCCACTTAAGCTTTGAAGACTTCTGAAGTAAAGCCTTAGCTTAACTGAAATAATATAGTGCAAAATTTGCATTCAGCCTTCGAAGAGGCCTGAAGAAATTAGTATCCAATCACATAAACATATTTACACAAGCAGAATTACGTTTTTTAAGAGTTGCCTAAACCGAGTATATTAAGTGAAATACAAAACATTTGACAGTCCACATCATTCGGCAAATATCTCAACACTTTTTAACAAGAACTCCCTTCGTAGTTATTCGAAGTGTCAAACTTCGCCAAGGTGCTTTCTTTGCATTTCCTTAAGTTCCCAGGAAAGAACTTTCTCTGTTTTTAAGGCGGTCCCCTAAGCAACTCGCCTACCTCTCATGTTTTCAGCGACGGTTAATTGATTCCCATTAAAAGCCAAGCGCCCATCAAAATAAGTCCCAAATTTAGGCTTGTAAAAGGGAAAGCTTTTTTAAAGCCCTACTGTTTCACGAGTTTTTGGCAAGCACGGATCAGAAACACACCCCCATAGCTCTCTATAACCCGAGCCGCACTCCCACAGCGGCATCGGGCCCAGCGGGTGCCCCGACAGGCTGGGGGGGGACACGACGCACCCCCCCCCCCCCCCAACTTCGCGAGGAAGGGTACGGCGGACCCTCCAAGGGCGGGAGCGTGTACCTCAGATCCGGGCCGGGCAGAACAGGGTCCACGCAGGGCGGTCGCAGCTCTGCCCCCTCCTCTTCACCCTGCCGCGGGGCGCCGGCGTGGGGCAGAACCCAGGAGCGGGGCCCGCCCGCAACAGCCCCTCCCTCAGCCGGGCAGCGGAGGGGGCCTGCCAGCGTCCCCTGAGGGAGGAGGGGAGCGGCCAGTGACACCCCCTCCCCAAGGCCTAACTACCGCCGCACTCCCTGCGGGGAGACACCAGGAACCGCCGCGGCAGGACCAAGACCGGGCCCGTCCCGTCCCCTCCCGCCCCGCTCCGGCGCCTTCCTCAGCCCACCACCGACCCCTCGTTCCCCGCCACCACCAGCCGCCGGCCAATCAGAAGGCAAAACCGGCCGCGCTCCCGCCCCCCGCTACTTACTCCGACCCAATGGGCGCACAGGTGGGGGAAACGGCTCGCTCGACCAATCAAAGCGTACCCGGGGGAACCAACCGCCAGCGCGCGCGCAGGGGATTTAAAAACACCAGCGGGCTAACAAACGGTCAGCGGGGAGGGCCGCGCAGGCGCAGTGCGGCGCGGCGGGGTTGCCATGGCAGCGCGAAGGCGCCGCCGCCGCCATCGCTCGGACCGGGCCGTGAGGGAAAGGACCGGCTTATTTCAAAATAAACCCGACGCAACCGTCTCGCCCCGGTCCTGCTGGAGGGTCGCTCCGGCCTTGGCCTTTCCCCGCCGGCGTCC